TTTACTTTCAATAATTTAATATTCATATTTCTTTTCTATTACAATAAATCGCGGTTTGAATAAATGTAAAGTCGAACAATGTTGAATAATATATAAGGTACAAACAACACAAAACTGTATTGGCCTTCCTCGATCAAATATTTAAAGATTTATAATTGGAAGTCTATACGATCAAACTTTAGTGTAGGTATATTTCCTGGAAATTTGTATGTGCATCAGCATGTAGCCCAAAACGGCTAGGAGTGGAAAGTTGAAATTTTGTAGGGTTGTAGAGAAAAAGTAGCTCCATCGAATGGGGGGGGGGGGGGGGGGAAACAATTTTTCAAAAATTTTTAAGGGGGGGAAAACATAAATTACGCCATATCTCGAGAACGGACCCCTTTTGCGATCTAAAAATGACGACCCAAGAACAAAAATTCTCTATTTTTTGTTACGTATATAGTGGAACACGAGCTTTATGGAAAAAAAAATACGGGGGCCTCTATCGAAAAAGGAAAGTACCCTAGGCTCCTATAAAAAAAAAAATCTGGCGATTTGGACAAAATTTGGAATGTAGGTAAAAGGGATCTAAAGAAGTTGATATTCCAAGTTTCAGCTTTCTAGGACCTACCGCAAAGGTTTTAGCCCTTATCATCCAATTTTGAAAAAGGGCGTGAAATAATGCATACACGTCCTGCACTTACTTTTCTAAATTTCGAAAAATAAAAAATACCATCGGATAGAAGAGCAAAAAATACGTCGAAAATGTCTCCAGGCGTTTTTCGCTCCGATACTTCCTAAGCCCGCAAAAAAATAAAAAAGTTTTGGCTCCTGGAAAATTTTGGGAATCTGATATGGCGCTACTTTTTCGCTTATGACTTTGGTAATTTCGAACCGATAATCTCGAATCAGGTTTCTTTTGTAAGAGGATAAAATTATCTATAAAATTGTTTTTTATCGATATTCCAGGTTATTTCTGTCTCCGAGATATAAGTCGTCAAAGTTGAAATTTCTCTGAAAATGTATTGTAGGTAAAGGGGGTCTGAAGAAGTTGATGTTCCAAGTTTCAGCTTTCTAGGGCCTACCGGAAAGGTTTTATCCCATATCCCCCCAATTTTGAAAAAGGGCGTGAAATGGCGCATACACGTCCTGCACTTACTTTTCCAAATTCCGAAAAATAAAAAATACCGTCGGATAGAGGAGCAAAAAATACGTCGAAAATATCTCTAGGCGTTTTTCGCTCCGACGCTTCCTAAGCCCGCAAAAAAAAATAAAAAAGATTTGGGTCCTGGAAAATTTTGGGGACCTGACACGGCGCCACTTTTTCTCTTATAACTTTGGTAATTTCGAACCGATTATCTCGAATCAGATTTCTTTCGAAAGAGAATAAAATTACCTATAAAATTGTTTTTTATTGATATTCCAGCAGTGTTGCCAGGTTGCTTTCATAAAGAGTAACAGGTTCGTCTTAAAAATGGTAATAGATTTTGAAAAATGGTAATAGATAGCTAGCGTCATATAAATATTTGAGATTAACTTTTAATACATAGTGTTATTTTTCTATAAAAAATAAAACTCGTGATTTAATTTATTGAGCATATCTTAAAATGACATTTTTGCATGTAGAAATGTCATTTTAAGGCCAAGTTGTAAACTTTGTTTTTTTTTTAAAGATAAAAGTCAAAATGACATTATGTTGGCAATACAATGTAAAATTGTCAATGCTTCAAATTTTTTATGTAGAAAAGGCTTGTGTTGCCAACATAGTTACTAAATTTTTGACTTGGGGAATTATCTTTAAAAAAAAAACAGACTTTACAATCTCGGTTCAAAATAAAGTTCGACTAAACTCGACTGGTACTTGAGCATTCCCATTTAAAGTACATTGCTGTCAGCTATTAATCAAATTCTCTCAATTTTGACAGCAATGCCTTTCAAATGAGGAAGTTCAAGTACCAGTCGAGTTCAGCTGAATTCTGTCTTGAACCAAGATTGTACAACTAGGCCTAAGCTATAGTTATTGCTAAACCTCCCTTAGGGCGGGTATTATAAAATTGCTTTGACAGTTAACTTGAAGTTAACTTTTTGAATTACATGTAATTCCAGAAGTTGACTTTAAGTTAACTCTCAAAGTAGTTTTATAATACCCACCCTTAATATGGTTGGTGCAAACAAGGTGTAAACCAAGGATGATGCACACCAAAGATGATACACGATACACACTACTACTACAGATCACAGGATGGCCTATCCTCATAAGGCCTGTGTGTAACAAATCCCCTCACGCCAAATTACCAGTTGTGACGTAGGCAGCATGTTATTTCTCGCCTTGACGTAGGCTGTTTAAACAGCTGACGACTTAGTTATGACCTCGGAAATGGTAACACACCAATATGGCAGCGATTACCAAAAACGAAGCCGATAAGCAGTCCTTAGAGTGTGTATTCTCCTTGGATACACACTACTACTACAGGGTAGCCTGCCTATCCTCACAAGCATAAGGCCACATGTGTCCTGTGTGGAAAAACCTCATTTTTTTCTCGAATGAAAGTAATGACGTCATTTTTAAAAAGGTTCATAACGGATTTCAAAAACATTTTGAACCGCCGCTGGGGTCGAGAAAAGACACTTTTAGGTATGACGTCAGAAATGGTGACTCACCAATATGGTGGCAATTACCTAAAACCAAGAAAACGAGGCTGATAAGCAATCCTGTAGGTATGTGTAAACATCCTTGGGTGCGAACGGCTATAAACTAAAGATATATTTGGATAATAATTTGGACAGGCCCTCAGGCCCTACGATTCTCACTTTAAAACTATAAAAATGAACTTAGAACTTCTTTTAGGATAAAAAAAGGTGATAAAATTTTTGAAAAGGTAAAAAAGTAATAAACTCCGCTAAAAAGTAACAGATCTGTTACAATTGTAATAGACTGGCAACACTGTATTCCAGGTTGTTTCTGTCTCCGAGATATAAGCCGCCAAAGTTGAAATTTCTCTGAAAATGTATTGTAGGTAGAAATGGGTCTAAAGAAGTTGATGTTCCAAGTTTCAGCTTTCTACGACCTATTGGAAAGGTTTTATTTCCTATACCCCCAATTTTGGAAAAGGGCGTGTAATGTGGATACACGTCCTGCACTTACTTTTCCAAATTTCGAAAAATAAAAAATATCGTCGGATAGAGGAAAAAAAAATACGTCGAAAATGTCTGTAGGCATTTTCCGCTCCGACGCTTCCTAAGCCAGCAAAAAAATAAAAAAGATTTGGCTCCTAGAAAATTTTGGGGACCTGACACGGCGCTACTTTTTCGCCTATAACTTTGGTAATTGCGCACCGATTATCTCGAATCAGGTTTCTTTTGAAAGAAGATAAGATCACCTATAAAAATGTTGATTGCTAATACGTCAACTCCATGTACCATCGTCACCAAAAGTAACTGGGACAGCATCACATTAGCTCTTGTCCTATTATATAAATTTTATTGTCAAATATTTGTCAAATTACGAATTAAATGCATTGAAATGAATGACAGTAGAATTAGTCCAGGAGATTATTATGCATTATTTGTGTCCCAGATACTTTTGGTGACGATGGTACAAATAGGAAATTCCTAACCTAATTTTATTTGTGTATAGAAGCGACATTCGTTAAGTCACCAGAACGACAATATTTATCGTTCTCAATTCAGTAGCATAAAAATTAGGCTGCGACTATAATCAGCATATATTTTGATTGTAGCTGTTATGATTACTTCACGTTTTCGAGTGTATACGTAGCTTTATGCACAAAAGGCCTCATCTGTTAAATGCCTAACAAAGACATGTATAATTTAAGAGCTATTTATTATTGTCTAGGGAAATGCGAAGTCGGGTGATGCTCTAGTTTCGTGAATTTGACTCCGGGATACCTAATTAGCTACGGGTTGAGGTGTTTCACGTAGAAAAAGAGGGTTGAACATTGTAACTGACTAGAAAAAAAATGCATTAATCAAATTCAAAAGCGTCTAACACTCAAATGAAAAAACTTTAATCCTTTTCATGCAAAAAACAACCCTAAAAGGTTTTTGCGTTACAGGTGCTCCGTTTCATTTCCAGAAGAGTATAAATCCTTGTAAGCTTGCACGCTCCGTTTTATTTTCTCCTTATTTGACAGGTTGCTATTATTGGAGAAAACCTTACCTTTGTTTTTTTATATGGCACTGACCCAAAACGGATAGGTATATATTCCTGCGTGCTGGTTTGGATTTTTGCCACTTAGGGGCTGCATTAGGCGTGCTTTTGTCCATTGAGGGATGGAATTTGGGCCAAGGATGAAGGGCGACATTGTGATTTATTATTCGGTTATCTTTAGTATCTTGTTTGGGTTTCGTTTTTTGTATATTGTGCTAGTGTAAAGCTTTGGCAAAAATGGATTTTTAATGAGATCAGTGATTTTCTAATTTTTTCTTTTGGAAAGTCAAAACTTTTTCTATTTATACGGATTGCTGGTCTTCCATTTTGAATCATTTGTAAACACCGTGAATGACCTTATCCAGAAATTGATGTTATAGTTTTGACCTAAAAAAGGTAATACGTATTACCTATGTATTCTTTGTGGCCCTAACAATTACCAAACGCCTTTCAAATAAGAAAATTCAAAAAAGTTACTCCAAATCACAATCCAACAACCAGAGCTGTCATTATCTATGAGATTTAAATCTTTCCTGAAAAGAATATTCTTGTTTGATTCCAAAGATATGCTTGAAATGTGTAGTCTCACATTCAAAGAAGAAATTATAGTTATGTTCTCAAAAGAATATTATACCAATATGCTTGAAAGCAAGTAGACTACATGAGGATATAGAGCCACGTATTAGAAATTCATCAGTTCAAATGATAATTGGAAAACTAAATGAGATCGTCACTGGCTCAGGCACAATTTCAGAAGCCAAGGAAATCTCTGACAGCAACAACACAAACTTCATCGTGAGATTAAATCAATCTACCCATTATCAGCCCCAAATAAAATTGAAACTCAATCAGAAAGTTCACTTTTAATATTCGCAATCAACCACGAGAAGGTACAAAAGCCACAAAGTTCGGCACTTAATATAAAAATTCCTAAATCTCCGCCTTGGATTCTTCGTTCGGCCGCTGCTGACTGCGATCCAAAAACGAATAATCCTTCGAGTTTGAAAGGCCGCTTATTACGCAAGCACTAAGTGCTGATCTATTCAAATTCATTGATGCCGCTTCGACCCATTCGTCGACTTCGATGTCGTAATATTCCATGTAGTTGATCGTCGTCGCTCCGTTGAAACCGCCAATTACGTAAATGTTGTCGTCCAGAATCACTGTGCCAAAGTTACTCCTCGGTGTCATCATGTCTGAAACTTCTATCCAGCGGGATGTGTGATCTGGTATGAATTTTTCTGTGGTGTTTAATCTTGTGTAGCCATTGAAGCCTCCGATTGCATATAAAGCGTTGTGGTAGTTGATTAAGCTTACGCCAGATCTTGCTGAATTCATTGAAGTTATGAAAGACCATTGGTTGGTGGATGGATCGAACATTTCCGCTGAATTCATAACTTCCTGCCCATTAAACCCTCCAACAATATAAACTTTGTCGTTGAACATTGCAGCACTAGCGTCAGAACGCTGTTTTTGCATCGAAGGTAATAATTCCCATTGGTTGCGTACAGGATCGAATCTTTCAGCAGAATTCATACGGATTCTACCATTATAACCACCCAGTGCATAAATCTTATTCATGCAAAGCACCACGCTAACGTAACATCTGGAATAGTACATGCACGCACAATCGGTCCATTTGTGAACTAGTGGATCGAAACATCTAACTGTATTGAAGTATTCGTTGCCATCAAAACCGCCTACTAAATAGACTTTACCTTCGTAGCTGCAAATTCCGTGATAGGCTCTGGCTACTTCGTCAGTATCTTTGGAAACCAGCCATTTGTTAGCACGATTATCGTAAATTTCCATGAAGTTTGTTGGACTTCCAGCACTCCAGCCACCAATAGCAAATAATATATCATAAGGGATACGTGGACGTGTCAAATAAATATTTTGCGGCACGCCATCGCAAAATTCATCTAATATAAGCTTAACATCTGAAATGTAAAGAGTGCATTCAGTGTCACTTTCAATTATCGGCCAACGAGCTATTTTTAAAACTTTCTCAGAAGACAAATTACCCATTCGGACACACTTGAGTAAGCTAAATAAATGTGGTTTTCTTGTGATTGGTAAATAATTCATCCAACACTTGATCGCCTCGAAAACGATCTCTTCAGATTTCACATTCAAGTAGTCATCTGATAGTATCTCTTTTAGATGCTGCGGAGACAAACGACAAAAGTCGTCGTTGCTTCTAAACACGTTCACGAAATGCTGAAGCACGTACTTGTTTCCCTGATATATCAAATATCTGCAAAAAAACCTATTGGCAAAATTCAAGACTTGTAGGCAATTTGCGATCGATAAATCATCGATAAGGAACTGGATACATTTTTGAACGACATCGAGAATTTCGTATTGATCGCAATATTTGAGAACTTCGAAAACGTTTGCGTTGTTTATCACACATTTTCCGGTGTACGCGTAATCCAGGACAACTTGGAACGCCGAACTCGACACGCTGACGTTGGCTTCGTTTATTTCCGGCCGGCCTCTGTTGATTGAATTCGTAAAAAGGGCTCGAAAATACGGACTTATCGCTGTCAATATTATTCGGTGTATGTTGAATACGACTCCGTCTTCGCACTTGACGATGCCGTCGCATAACTGATTGTTCACTCTCAGGTCTTCCCAAATCGTTGGAAATTCTAAAGGGCCGTTCCGGCACTCGGTGCAATTACACCTTTGGCATCTTATATTCGGCGTACGTTTGGGTCTTTTGAGGGTTTTACTTGTGCCGCGGAAGTATAAGGGTTTGCGTTTCGATGGGATTTTGCGGAGTTTCATGTAGAAGCTCATTCAATTCACAATGTAAAATGCCTACGTAAGAATATGGTAGAAATTTTTGTATAAATTTGATAAAACTGTTGTCTAGGGATTCACTTGTGACATTTTCTTGACAGTTTTGATTATTACAAAGTTACAAGCAGGCCTGGATTAAGGGGGGTTCTACCGGTTCTATAGAACCGGGCCCAACGTTCCAAGGGGCCCTCGCGAGATCGAAGATTAGACAAAAAAAATTAAACTTGAATGTTCAACAAACATTTCCAAAATTCTTCCAAAAACTGGCTTGACAAAATTATAAACCATCAGCCTATAACCATTGTCTATACCTAACTATCATTGAGGATAACTATGTTGCCAATAGTTATCAATAGTAATATAACTAGTGCAATGGAAATTATTGATAATTTTTGGGAAATTTGCCCGAATGCATTTTTCAGTTAAAAACGCATGAGTGCAAATTCGTCGAAAATTATAAATATATTTCCATTGCACGAGTTGTATTTAATGAGAGAATTTCATAAATCAAAAATTTGAATTTTTTGTCAAAAAATGTCAAAACATCAGTTTTCGCACCAGTTAGTATTCAATTATCTGATAATTTGCACTAGTGCAAATTATCAGATAATTGCAATCTGATTGGTTCAAATCAACAATCAAAACATGTCAATTCAATGTTGGAATACCAGTTTTGACAGATGTATGAAATTCTCACTGTAATAGTAATGTTAAGTACAGTGGCTCGTATACCACAGTGGCGACAATTGCCGTCTCATTTTTGATTGGTTCTTTAAAATCCGATATATTCATATGGGAAACGCCGCCATTTTAGGGCTTACCTCTTGCTAATTTTAAATATGAATATATTTCCAAATGGACATCCACGATAACAAATTGAATACAACGTATTTGATGTACCTACCTGTACCTGATTATAGTCATCAGATACATTGTGTTAAATTTTTTTTGATAGATGATGTTCATTTAATGGCCGTTTGCACCGATCATTTTAAGGAAGCCTTAGCGAGAAGCGATAAGTATTCCTGAAGCCCAGTTTCACAATTGGTGGTAACCTGATGCACTAGTTATGAAACTAAGGGCTAGTTTCTCAAACACCCAACGGTAACTACAACACACTGGTAATCCACAATAGGTATATCTGTTTCATAATAATATGTGGTTTAGCCAAACCAAAATCATTACTCAAGCTACAGAATATTTAACTCAAGACTTATTTTGCAAACTTGTGGTTAAGCCGCAACTTTTAGTTCAATAATCACTGCAGGTTACCATCAATTGTGAAACTGGGCCTAATAGTTAAATAACCTGAACTTTAATCAATGGTTTTGGCTCAACGACTCAACGACATATTATGAAACCAGAGGCGTTTTCTCGCGTCTACTTTTTTGAAACTGGTTCAAAACTGTTTTGAAAAACTACATTCTCGCAATAAACCCATGACGTCACGTCAAAATTGATTCAAACCGTTTCGAAATACAATCCACATTTTCAAACCATTTTCTCACGCCGAAAAATTATGACGTCATGGTGACATTACTTAAACCAGTTTTGAAACATTTGAGACGCGAGAAAACGCCTCAGATATATTGTGGGTTACCTATCAGTGTCTTGTGGTTAACGCTGTTTGTGAAACTGGACCTTAAAATTACATTTTTACATAAAGAAATGTCACTCTAAGGAACGCTTAGCGCTAACCTTAAAATGGTCGGTGCAAATGGCCATGACTCCTATATATTCATATTTAAAATTAGCAAGACGTACCATCGTCACCAAAAGTAACTGGGACAACATCACATTAGCTCTTGTCCTATTATATGAATTTTAATGTCAAATATTTGTCAAACTATGAATTAAATGCATTGAAATGAATGACAGTAGAATTAGTCCAGGAGATTATTATGCATTATTTGTGTACCAGAAACTTTTGGTGACGATGGTACCTTAGCCCCAAAATGGCGACGGAACCTCTATTGTTGTCACTGTATGTAAAGGTTTATTTAGTCACTGTAATATTGAATACAGGAAAGACCATATAGTACATACCTATTTTAAATTTTCTACTGGCGTATATCGCGCCTTTCCTATTTACCTAATGTGCGGATTTTGAAGCAAAGGATGGAAATAGAGGTACCTATATGATCTCGATCGCATAAGTCTATTTTTGTCAAACGAAAAAGAACGAGGTCATGAACTGCGCACAATGGCAGTTTAAAGGGGAGGGGTAGAAGGAGTAATTACCCCTTCCCCTAGACAAAGATTTTTTTAATACACTTCACAATAAAATTTCAGCACAAGACAAAATCTATAAAGTAAAGCATAAAAGACATTGTATAAATTGATATAAAGCTCACTAGTATCGACGAGCCTACTACCAACTATACAGTGAAATAAAGGGTATTTAATTTGAAAAAAATGAGCTATGGTTGTTTGAAATGTCTGGTTTTGTGTACATTAACAGTATTGCGAACACCCTGTAGAATGACGGTCGAAATTTGATCGTGGCGCCATCTAAGACTAGGATTCAAAACTACAGCAATTTTTTTGCTGTATTTATTTAGTGATGGACCGACTAAAAATCAGTTCGTTGAAACCATCGTACTACTTCTATTTTGCCTACAGGCACAAAACTTGGATTGGTTTTCTTTGCTTTCCTCGCCATACTGATGAGACCTGTTAGGTCGAAACGCGTCTATGGATGGAATAGCGGAGAAAATTAATCTAAAATTTTCTCACCCTGTAGAATGTTATCAGATTTTTATAGGACCATGAAGTAAATGTAAGTATACACTAAAAACCTGCAAAAGATTTTGCTCAAGGATCTCAAATGAATAAAATGTGTTGGTTTTTGTTGACACATGCAAACTGCGATTTTTTGAAAAAATTTCAAATATTTCAAAAAGGGTCGAGTTTTAGTATGGGTAATTCCTCACCAAAAGTATGTGGGATTTTTAGAACAATCCATTAATATTCTAAAATATAGGGTGTTCTATTTAAAATAACAAAGTTCTGTCGCATACCTCATTTACGGAGCACCCTGTATATTCAAAAATATTTTTAACTAATTTAGATTATCAAACAACTTTGTTATGTAATTTTTTTTTATTGCATCACCCTGAAAGGCAATATCGTCTACTAAGTGCACACCCTGTATAATTATTTTGCCGGCATTGAGATACCTACATTTCGCCTCCGGCGGGGAGCCTTTCGACACTTGATAATTTTCCCGTCATCCATTACCCCCCCTTAGAAAATCAACTATGGACCGCCGCTGACTGCGCATGCGTTAAATGCTAGATTCTTATTGGCCGGCGGTTGGCATTTTGTAACATGCTTCCTGTGTGGTGTTGCCACATCAAGTTGAGGATACTATATGCGTCATTTTGACTCACTGTGTTTTTCTGGTGGTTTCTTTATCAAATTTCTTTACGACAGGCAACCCTGCAATATCAGTTGCTTAAAATTGATGCTTTAGTGGTGAACTAATTACATATTAACGCATGTGCATTAGAAAACAAAATTCTCCATAGACAAAGATGGCGTACTTTCATCTTTCATCTCATATTGTTTGTTTCACCAGCTCATCCAAACAACCCGTGATATATAGTCCAACACATACCATTTTAAAGTCACGTGATTTTTCTCTATCCTTGTTGAATACATCTCAAACAGCGGTGATAGTAAAATTATCTACGTCAGTATAATAGGTATGGGAAAGATGCACCTTTCTTTGACAGCATAATCGCCATGATAGTTGTATTCCTTTCACACCTAGGAGGAGCTCCGGAACAGCTCTGGGGTGTACTTGCTTATTCTTTTCGAAAAGTGTTTATTGCACCACGCATCTCTTCCTTTCAAATCGGGGTCGACTAATACCGGAACGAGTAGCTCGAGTGTTCCAAGCTCTTAAAAGGAATACACCTCATCAATAGTTCTAGGTTAGGGTATTCGTGCGTGAATCCCCGCGGAAGCCAGCCAAATTTATGTATTATTGAATGTTGGTGTTAGTTAGTAGGTAGGTATAGTGACTGATTTTTCCATTCTCTCATTATCTAAAAAAATAGGGGCCCCAAAAAATAAATTAGCACCGGGCCCACCAGTGTCTTAATCCGCCTCTGGTTACAAGGTAATCGTTCATTCACGCAGTATGAAGGTATATCACGATTTAATACTAAAATGGATATTTCCAACTTGAAGAAGCAAATAATGCATGTGAAAGGTTGGTATGATTGCATTGCAAGACAATATAGGACCGACCAAGAACAAAAATCCGAAAGAATAATCGCGAAATCTTCAGGGGTCTCCCAGAATTCTCGATATCTATTCGTGAATATAAGAAAAACTAATATTGTTATCCCATCTAGGTACCTACTCCCTGTCGCCCATATTCTCCTGAGTCTGGTTTGAATTTTCTGTGACTAATACTACACGCAAATTTTTGAAAATTTTAACATGGAAAAATTTGTCACGTGCAAAGATAAGCGAATAGAGTCACACCATTTTTTTTTTTATTCAAATACGATTTTCAATTTTGACTTTCAGAATTATCCTTCCGGTATTTATTGAAAGAATAAATTGGATATTTTGTACACATTGAGAATCATTTGCTTGACGTCGTGTTTCTTACACAGTATGAGTATTTGAATATATATTTTTTATTATCACACAGTCAATGTTTCTTTGCCATACCAGCTTACACAGATAAAAATACTTTTTCTTTTCCACTCATGGAATTAGGATTAAAAGAGGAGAATTAGCTGAAATGTGCTTATATACTCGGAACCGTCATTATCCAACAACATCCTTAAGTATATTAGTTCTCTGTTTTAACGGCCTTCCAGTTGCTATCTTCATCTCGCAGGCCTCTCACCAACATTATTAATTCAAATTTCAGTTAATGAATTAAATTTACGTGTTTTTTTTTGCACAAAAATTCCTTTGAAATATGAGTTAACTTTGAAACCCTAAATCTTCCACAAGATTTTTGTATATAACATCCCTTTTATTCTTTGACTTATAAGTGCAAGATAAATCTCTTTTATGTCTTGAAGATTACTTTCCGATAAGATAGACCATAAAAATAAAAAGTTTTGAAGCTGTTTAAGATTAACTTTTCAAAAGTTGGGCTACTTATTTCCATTAAATACTTAAAACTATGGAAAATCCTATACTTTATTGCGATAAGTATGTTTTATTTTATGCCTGTAAACTACAAGCACATATTTTATGTGATGCTGAAAGCCCCAGCGTGTAGCATAGCAATCGTCCTTTAAAATTTATCAAAGCATTCCCGACATTC